TGTTTATTAGGGTGTGTAGAAAAGAGAACCTTCATATGCTGTTGGTGGGAATATAAATTGTTACACTCACCATGGAAAGCACTATGGAAATTTTTCAATAAATTAAAAATAGGAATACCATACAACCTAATGATTCAACTTCTGGGAATTTACCTGAAGAAAACAAAATCACTAATTCAAAAAGATATATGCACCCCTATGCTATCATAGTATTATTTACTATAGCCAAAATATGGAAGCAACCTAAGTGTCTATCAGTAAATGAATGGTTAAAGAAGATGTAGAACATATATACAATAGTATATTACTCTGCTATAAGAAAGAATGAAATCTTGCCATTTGCAGCAACATGGATGGACCTACTTGGCTTTACGCTAAGTGAAATGAGTCAGACAAAGACAAAAAATGTATGATTTCACTTATATGTGGAATCTAAGAAATATAACAAGCAAAATAGAAACAGACTCATAACCACAGAGAACAAATTAGTAGCTTCCACAGGGGAGGTGGGCAGGTGGATGGGCAAAGTAGGTGAAGGGGATAAAGAGGTGCAAATTTCCAATTAGAAAATAAATTAACCACAGGGATGAAAGTACAGCATGGGGAATATAGTCAATAATACTGTAACATCTCTGTTGATAGATGGTGACTACACTTATTGTGCTGAGTGTTTGGTAATGTGCATAATTGTTGAATTGTTATGCTGTAAACCTGAAACCAATATAATATTGTAAAATGTATATCAACTACATTTCAATTAAAAAATAAGACCCAACTATATATTGTCTAGGAGAAATCCAGTTTAAATATAAAGACACATCGAGATTAAAAGTAAAGATATGTCAACATAATGAGAAGACAAGCTACAGATTGGGAGAAAATACTTATAAAAGATATATCTGATAAAGACTGTTGTTCAAAATATATAAGAACTCTTAAAATTCAATAATAAAAAAATTAACAATCCAATGAAAAAATGGGCAAAACACCTGATAAATACCTCACCAAAGAAGATATATGGATTAACATGCAAGCATATGAAAAGATGCTCCACATTATATGTCATTAGGGAAATGCAAATTAAAACAAAGATACTACATGCACCTAGTAGAATGACCAAAATCCAGAATACTGACATATCAAATTGTGACAGGAATGCAGAGAAATAGGAACCCTCAATCACTGCTGGTGAGAGTGCAAAATGGTATGGCAACTTTGGAAAACAGTTTGGAATTTTCTTATAAATTAAATATAGTCTTACCTTATGATTCAAACAATACACTTTTTGTTATTTATGCAAATGAGTGAAGATTTAGGTCTATACAAAAATCTACACATGGATATTTACAGTGGCTTTATTGATAACTGCCAAAATTTGGACACTATCAAGATGTCTTTCAGTAGGTAAAAGGATAACCTGTAGCACATCCAGACAATGGAATATTATTTAGTGCTAAAAGAAATTATCATTACCATGAAAAGATATGGAAGAAGCTTAAATGTATATTACTATGTGAAAGAGGTCAATCTGAAAAGGCTATATACTCTATGATTTCAACTATGTAACATTCTGGGAAAGGCTAGACTTTGGAGATAGTAAAAAGATTAGTGGTTGCCAGGAGTTAAGTAGGAGAGAGGGATGAATAGATAAAGCCCAGAGGATTTTTAGGGCAGTGAAACTATTCTATATGACTCTATATGGTGGATACATGTCATGAAACATTTGTCAAAACTCACAGAATGTACACCATCAAGAGTTAACTGTAATATAAACTATGGACTTTGGGTGATGATGATGTGTCAATGTTAAGTTCATCAACGGTAATAAATGCACCATTCTGATTAGGAAAGTACTAGAAGGGCAGGGTGTGGGGATGGGGACTTGGTGATACGTGAGAGGTCTGTACTTAATGCTCAATTTTGCTGTAAAACTGGAACTGCTCTAAAAATGAAATTCACATTAAATGGGGAAAACATACTTGACTTCATGAAGTATTATAAAGCTATAGTAATCAAGAGGGATGAATAGATAAAGCCCAGAGAATTTTTGGGCAAAACACCTGATAAACACCTCACTCTGTAAGAGCTCTGTACTTAATGCTCAATTTTGCTGTAAAACTGGAACTGTTCTCAAAATGAAATTTATGTTAAATGGGGAAAACATACTTGACCTTATAAAGTATTATAAAGCTATAGTAATCAAGACAGTATGGTTTCTTTCCTTTTTTTTAATCAAAGTATCATTGATATACAATCCTCTGATGGTTTCACATAAACAACACAGTGGTTTCAACACTCACCCATATTGTCAAGTCCTCACCCCCTCTATTGTGGTCACTGTCTATCAGCACAGTAAGATGCTACAGAGTCATTAATTGTCTTCTCCGTGCTATAGACATTATGGTTTCTTTATCTGCAAATGATGTAATTATCTATGTAAAGAACCCTAAGGAGTCTACAAAAAAACTCCTAGAATAAGTGAGCCTAGTAAAATCATAGGATAAAAGAAAAACCAACTGTAATTCTATATATCAGAAATGAAAATTAGAAATTGAAATTAAAAATACACACACATGGTGGGGACTTGATGATGGGGGGAGTCTAGTAACCATAATGTTGCTCATGTAATTGTAGATTAATGATACCAAAATCAAAAATAATAAAAAATAAAAAATAAAAATAAAAATACACACACATTGAAAACTACAAAACATTGCTGAAGGAAATTAAAGGAAGTCTAAATAAATAGAAAAACCTGTTCATGAATTGAAAGACTCAGTGACTCAAAATGGTCAAGATGCCATTTAGAATGGTATACTTAAAATATGTGCATTTTATTTCATGTAAAATTATATCTCTAAGTTGATTTGTTTAAAATTGGTATATTGTTGACAGAGACTTTCCTTGAACAGAGTTACATCCCAGATATGCATAACCTATGTAGGCCAGGTAACCTCAAGCCATGAATTTAAGTATAGACTCCACCTGAAAGAACCTCTATATATCTTCTAGGAATAAAAGAAAGTCTCTAGAAAGGGCTTGGTGAAGTTCTCACAGATAATTTTTACAAGGGCAATGACCAGAACATAATCACGAGTACCAGGCAAACAGGAAAACAAGGCATATGAGTACTCAATAGGAGAAGCATAGCCAGTTAGAAGAAACCTGAAAAGGCTTCAGATACTGCAATTACAAACAAGACAACTATACTTACTATGATTAAACATATAAATGGCAATTTGAAGCTACCTGCAGTAAATAAGAAACTGTAAAAAGTGACATACCAGACATGAAAAGAACCAAATAGAGCTTCTAAAAATAAAAGGTTTAATAGTCAAAATTTTCTAAACTCAGTGGTTGGATGTAATAACATTTTGGCCACAGCAAAAGAAAGCACTAGTGAAATAAGGACTTGTGAAAAAATTACACCAAATGTACCACAGAGAGTCAAAAAATAAAAACTTTAAATATCTAACACACTAACATTCATGCTAGATACAATGAGAAGGTCTAACTTACATTTGCTTGGAGTTCCAGAAATGGGGTAAAGAAAATATTAGAAAAGACAATGACTGAGAATTGTGCAGAACTGTTGGAAGACAGTCACAGAATTAAGAGGACCAGCAAACCCCCAAGCAAGAGAAATAAAAATAAATCTACACCTAGATACATTACAAACTATAGAAACCCAAAGATAAGGAGAAAAACCGTAAGAGCCACAAGAAAGAAAAAAGACAAAATACCTTTAAAAGAGCAGTAAAACTGGCATCTAACTCCTCAAGAGCATCAGTGGAAACCAAAAGATAAAAGAACGTAACATGCAAAGAGAAAATAACCACTCATCTGGAATTCTACAGCCATTAAGAAAGATGGCTGCTGAAAGAGCCCAAATTCAAAATCTAACAAAATGGTATGCTACCCTCTTAATATTTATCTTTAACTTTTCTCTTTACTTCTAATATATATATAGTTTTTCATAGAATTAAATCACTTAAGGTAATAATGAAAAGATCATATGAAATTAGGTATATGGAGAATCATAGAATTCTCAGGGCCTATTTAGATCCTAGTTCTTTTAACTATAAAATAAGGTTTTAAACAGCATGATTCTTAAGGTCGTTTTTTGTTCTGTACGTAGCAACCACACGGCTACTGATTATAGCAAAAATTTGATTTATAAATGATTTTATTTTCAAATTTATAAATTTGATTATAAATACCATTAAATAAGTGCTATAAGTAACTTAAAATAAACAAGGGCTCTGAAACAAGTAATGGACTATATTTACATAATCAGGCTTCAAATACAAAATAGGAAATAAGAGTCAGAAGACAAAGAAGTGAGTCTTTTTCCACCCACAAAGAGTACATATCGGAAAAGTAACTTGATTTGATAAATTAAAGCATTCTATTAAAAAGCCTAGAAAATTCTGACAGTAGAGCAACGACTCATGTAAGCACTGATAGTGAGAGGAGAGTAACCTTTGATCTATGTGAAAAAAAGAGGACCTTTGTACATTTGACTACCCAGATTCAGAAAGGTACTTTCTGAAGTTTCTGTGATGACTGCCCTTGTACTGTTCACCATGTAACTTATTCACTATGTAAGAATTTGTTCTCCATGTAAGAACTTGTTCGTTATGCTTCAGAAGATTGGAGACTGATGAAAATTAGGCTTGGGGTGGATTAAAGATTGTGCATTGAGCATTGACTCCCCTATACAGAATTTTATTGTTNCCAATTGTAAAATAAATAAGTAACTGGGATGTAATGTATAGCATAAGGAATATAGTCAAAATATTGTAACAACTTGGTATGGTGATAGCTGGTACCTAGAATTATCATGTATATAAATGTTGAATAACTGTGTTGTACACCTGAAACTAATGTAATACTGTGTGTCAACTACCCTTCAATAAAAAATAATCATCTAAAAGAAAAAAGGTACTTTCTGTTTGGATTAAAGAAAAACAGTGTTAATGATAAAAATGTATGCTCACCTGGTAAAAACTCCTCCTTGCAAGCAATGAAGTAGAAGGAGACAATGCTGACTTTCTTGGCCTGCTTTCTTTAAATCAGCCTTAAACCAAGAATAACTAAAACACTGGACCACAAGTGTTCCAAAGAGCATAAAGCTTACTGTTAAAACACCAAAAACGTACTGTCCTTCATGGAAAAACCTGACAGATACCCAGATGTCCACAATTAAATCAGTTATATAGATTATAATGCCAAGAACTGACATCATAAAATTCAACTTACTATATTTCATTATGAATCACTATAGATTTTGGTTATTTACCTTCTCTCCTACAAAAATAAAAAAAGTAACTAGGACAAATATTAGTGTATAGTTTAGTATAGCACTAAATTTTAATTTTTACTCCCTAAATTTATTTTGAGAAAGAATAATATTAGGAAAATGGAACACTAAAACCTAAGTAACTAATTTTAACTTTCTTTTCTAAATGTCTAATCCTGACCCTATGTTAAAAGGCTTTATTCAATCTTCTATTTCACAATGATCTTCATTAAAGATGACAACACCTAAAATGAAACATACATAAAGGATTCTAAAAATCTTGAGTATAATATTAAAAAAGCTAGGCTATGACTTTACCAAAGCCCCATTTTTTCTAAACATAATATATTACCACTAAATATAGTTCTTATAATAGTTTTAAGAAAATAAAGTCTCAGAAATAGATTTACTATTGACAACATCCTCTCAGACTATTTTGTACCTCTTAAAAAATACAAGCTACTCAGAAAGATATTTACCAAAGGACCATTTATAATGGCAAAAAACTGGAAACAGTCTAAATGCATGAATACATATAATTGGCAAATAATGATAGATTCATAAAATGGAATGTTACAAAGATACAAAAAATATATTTTAAAAAGGGGCAATAGCTGTGAAAATTCTTAATGTTTTTAATTCAGTAATTCCATCTAAGAATCAAGCCTAAGGCAATATTCACAAATACACATATACACAGATACATGCTCTTTGCAGAACCTTTCTTATAACAGCAAAAAACTGAAAACTACCTAAATGATAATTAAGAGGCCTGGTTCAATAAATTATGGTACATCAATACTAAAGAATACATAATGCAATTTTTAAACAGAATGGTGTAGCTTTGTATAAACTGACTTTGGAACATCGTCAAGACATGTTCAGGGAAAAAAGCAGGTGCTAGAAGGATAAATATAGCATTTATGGTTTTTAATTATATCTGGAGAAGGGAAGGGGGTGGTTGATAGTAAGAGGTAAATGCAACTTTAATCCTTTAATTAAACATGCTTTTATGTTGTTTTTTATATCAGACCTGTATTCATTCAATACATAATTTTTTAAAATAAAAATAATAGTAAATCCTATGCTGATAAACAGTGACTGTAATGGGGTATATGGTGGGGACTTGATAATGGGGGGAATCTAGTAACCACAATGTTGCTCATGTGATTGTATATTAATGATTTCAAAGTGATAAATAAATAAATAGATAAATAGATAAATAGTAAATCATACAGAGAATTGCAATGACTGGAAAAAAATTTTATGCTACTAATGATAGCTGGTATTTACTTACTACTACATGACAGGCATTGAACTACATGTTATATATAAAAGGCTCCCAATTAATTCTTATATCAAACTTAGATTATATACTATTATCATTCCTATTTTATAAATGTGGCTGAATGCAATATTCAGACAAGATTTGTCTGATTCAACAGTTTTTTTAAAATTTTCCTAATTGCCAACATCTCATATAAAAATCCAGATTTTTCACTATTATCTAAAAACTGAAAGATAGGCTACACTTGACTATCACTCCTTCATGAGCAGCGTATTCCCCCTGGACGGGGCATGCCTTCTCAGGTTTACCACAGTAGTAAGCCATTCCACTGCACTCATTTCAAAAGATGGACCTCAGTGTCAATGGAGCTACCTACTAGCTGCAAATCCTTTGTGGGGAAGTTGGGGATCCTATGGCCAGGATCCTCACTGAACTCAAACGACCTGATGATGTAACTGGCCTTTGCTAGACTACCGCTTCCACACCTTTAGGCAATAAGCTACTATTGCACTGTATAGAGAGCTCAGCCCAGTGCCTTGGGAGGAGGCAGAGACGCTAGTGCTCGACCTACCACTGGGAGAACAAGCCAGGAAATAAACCCTTTCACCCCAAAGAACGTTTTGCTGTCAATTTCTTTGGCCACATTGAATCCGCAGCGAACTTGCCAAGGGCTAAAACCCATTGGCAAGACAATTGACACACCGAGCCAGGATCATTGTTGACCAAGGAAAAAGACAGGCTGCCTTTATGGGAGGGGTCCTTCAGCAGGCTGCCCCTGTGAATGGGGAGGCAATGGATCAATCCCCAACGGGTATATGGTCTGAGGTGGCTTGCCTCCTAGAGGACTAGGCCCCACCCCAAGACTGGAGGCAAGTGGAGGTGACAACTGAGGCAGAAGGGATAGCCCTTGGTATAGAAAGTAGGTCGTTTGAGAGACAGAGTGCCCATGAGGCAGTAGGGACTGTGGGTTGGCGGGTTCTCACAGTATTAAAAAAGTCTACAGAAGAGAAGGACATGCTCCTGAAAAAGACACAAGAAATGGCAGCATGAGAATGCAAGCTGCAAACTTCTGTGGATTCCCTGAAAGGAAATGGCATTGATGCTAGAGGAGGCAGCAGGAGAACACTTGCAGCAAGGTGCCATTGAAGACATAAAACATTCCTTACAGAATGAGAGGGCAGTGCTGCCAGGTACGCTGAAGGAGGAAAAGGCCATCAAGGAAAAAGGCGAACTCCTGAGGGAAGCACAGGCGGAGGTGGCATGAGAACTCCAGCTGTGAAGCATTGAGGTGAAGGTAAGAGAGCTTCAGAAGACTGAGCTACCACTGCTGTGAGACAGAGTAGAAAAGGTAAAGGTTGCTGTAGAGGAGGCACTCGGGGAAGGGGAGAGAAAGGAGCCAACAGCCCCAGAAATGGAGGAACTGCAGAAGGATGAAGGGGTGGTGCAGGAGACACTGGCCCCTGCTGTATTGAAAGCATGCCCAGTAGTTGTAAAGAAAATGAAGACACAGCAGCTGAAAGTTCCCCAAAGAGAAGAGCAGCCTCCTCCCCAGGTTGTGGAGCCCTCTATGCTCCGCCTCTATACTCAGACTGAGCTGGTGGATTTGGGCTCCTGGTTTAGGCAGAAGCCCTTGGAGTCAATATCAGCTTGGCTCCTACATCTGTGGGACTTAGGAGAGGATGAAATTGTTCTGTTGGGATCACAGATGGGAAAGCTGGCTTCCCTGACAGTGCAGCCCGCCTTGAGGCAGCATTTACAAAATGCACATCATCAACAATATCCGCATTATAGGGGTACCAGAGGAAGAAGAGAGAGAAAAAGAGATAGAAAGTGTCTTTGAAGAAATAATTGCTGAGAACTTCCCCAAACTGGGGGTGGGGGGGTGGGGGGAGGGAGGGAATAGTTGCTCAGACTACAGAGGCACACAGAACTCCCGAGAGACGGGATCCAAAGAGGTCAACACCAAGACAGATAATAATTAAAATGGCAAAGATCAAGGACAGGGACAGAGTATTAAAGGCAGCCAGAGAGAGTAAAAAGGTCACCTACAAAGGAAAACCCATCAGGCTATCATCAGACTTCTCAACAGAAACCTTACAGGCCAGAAGAGAATGGCATGATATATTTAATGCAATGAAACAGAAGGGCCTTGAACCAAGGATACTGTATCCAGCACAATTATCATTTAAATATGAAGGAGGGATTAAGCAATTCCCAGACAAGTAAAATGCACATCAGACCCCAGGGAGTTACTCCCTCCTTGATTGCCTTATGACCCAATCCAGGTAATCTACCATCCTCTCCTGTTAGATAGCAGATGTATGCTGACCTCCAACAGGTGTTTGAGACCTAGGCATAAGAAATACCATCTATAGTCCAGAGAATTATGGCCCAGATGAAGATATTTTCAATACTAGAATGAGAAATATTGTGCTTCAAATAGTTCCCATATCCCTCTTTGGGTGTCTAGTGGCCATTCTTTACCCTCACCTAGGGCATTCCATAAGCAAGGTGACACATACAGTAGCAGACTCAGGAAAGGCTGAAGGAATGAGAACTCAGAAAAAATAAGATCTGCTACTCACAAGAAGAATTTAAAGGGCCCCATGAAGGTTATGAGGACCCCAATGTGGTTTGATTTAATACAGGCCAAAGAAGATGGAAGGATATTAGATGGTAAGTCAAATAAGATCTCACTAGAGCTATAGCAGCAGCTGAAACCAGAGCAGCAGTTTCAGCCATTAAGACCAAAGAGGGAGAGGTCAGAGACAGAGCCACAAGTCTGGTCTGTGTGTTTGCAAGACTTCCTGCTGAAGAGCAAGCCAATCTCACTTGAACCCACACAGGATGAAGCCTGGAAACATGGTTTGACTGAGGGGAAGGTCAAGGTATCTGCCCTAAGGGACCAGGGGGGAAATGGAGGCCACATGTTGAAATTGCTGTCCATTGGTCCCCAGTGAACATACAACGTGTCCTGGGCTTGGTGGACACAGGGGCTGAATGTTCACTGATTCAAGGTAACGCTGAGCGGTTTCCCTAGGACCCCCACTATCATAGATGGATACAGGCGTAAGGCTATTACAGTGAAACAAGCCCAAATCCCTTTGGGAATAGTTCATCTACCCCAAAAGAGTTTACCATGTATATATCTCCTATCCCTGAGTATATTTTGGGGATTGATATCCTGCAGGGTCTATGGTTGCAGACCACTGCAGGTGAGTTCAGACTGAGAGTATCTGTGGTGAAGGCAGTTCTGAGGGGACATGCTAGGTACCCACTCATAGCTTTGCCTGTGCCTTGGCAGGTGACTAATACAAACAATACAAACTGCCTGGACGGCATAAGGAGATCGGAGAAACTCAAGGAGCTGGAAAAGGTGGGTATTATAAAGCCCACCCATAGTCCTTTCAAGTCCCCAGTGTGGCCAGTAAAAAAGCCAGACTGCTCCTGGTGTATGACTGGATTACAGAGAAATGAATGAAGTCATACCCCCTGAGCATGCGGCTGTCGCCTCTACTGCAGGCCTCAAGATACCGTCAGCCATGAACTAGGAACATTACATGGTAGACCTTGCTAATGCCTTCTTTTCCACTGACATTGAGCAGGAAAGTCAGGAACAGTTTGCCTTCATGTGGAAAGGATGACAATGGACTTTCACCAACCTCCCACAGGGATACCTCCACAGTCCCACCATCTGTCATGGACTTCAACCCAGGGCTTGGCTATACGGGAGAAACCGCCACTGGTGCACTGTACCATTATATTGATGATGTCATTCTCATGTTTGATTCTCTTTCAGAGCTAGATGGTGCAGCACACAGACTGCTGCAACAGGGTTCAGGGACCTGCTGCATCTGTCAAATTCTTGGATGTCGTCTTGTTGGGTAAAACCAAAGTTATACCAGAAGCAGTTATAGATAAAGTCCAGGCCTTTCCTACCCCTACAACTGTAACATT